AAGAACTTATCGCAGAGGTCAACAGGTGTGGTGCTTTTGTGATCATGTTTGATGAGACCCTGAACCAGACAACTAAAAGCAAGCAACTGGACCTGCATGTGCGGTATTGGTTGAATGACCGTGTTCAGTCAAGGTTCTTTGGATCTCAGTTTATGGGACATGCAACTGCACAAGGTCTACTTCAACATTTCAAAGTAAGTTTTCTTTTATTCAGTGTATTTATTAGCTTACATATTAGAGTGCATCATAGAAAATGTCAGTTATAATATATATTTTTATAGGGTATGTATTTGTTTGATATGTATAATAAATGTATATATAAATATATAACCCTATATTTGTATATATTTAGTTAATTAGCATTTTAGATAATACAACTTGGGTCTTGTACACCTGCTGAAGTATCTTAATAAAGCATAGACTTGTCAGGTATCCCCATACTCACTGTAGCTATAGGCTCTGCACTGGTTATAAAAATGGTTCATGTTGCTACTTTTTTTTAAGTGTCAGAGATGAGATGTGTTGAATGTTATGTGGTTAATATCTTCTCTTTGGTGTGTTTTTTAATTCCTAGGAGTGTGTGCAGCAGCTTGACCTGAGAGAAATGTTATCTGTCTCCATGGATGGACCCAGTGTAAACTGGAAGTGTTTTGAACTCTTGCAGCAAGAACATTCAGAGGCCTTTGCAGGTGCCCAGCTGACTGTGGTCGGGAGCTGTGGTCTCCACACACTCCATAATGCCATAAAAAGTGGCTTTAGTGTCTGGCAAATGGAGAAATTTCTCAGGGCAATGCATACAGTCTTCCATAATAGCCCTGCAAGAAGAGAGGACTTCTGCACTCTGAACAAGATCTTTGTGTTTCCCCTGGCATTTTGTGGGCATCGTTGGATAGAAAACCTACCAGTCATCGATAGGGCTATTGCAGTATGGCCAATGATCGTGATGTATGTGAATGCAGTAACACAGAAAAAACTTCCAAATCCAAGATCATCATCCTATGACTCCCTTGCAGAGGCACGGAATGATCCTTTTATAATGGCCAAGTTTCATTTCTTCATGGCTGTCTCCAGAACCTTCTCCACTTTTCTGACTAAATATCAGACAGATGAGCCTGTGTTGCCATTCATTAGCAAAGACCTGGTCATGCTCATGAAGGTAATAACATCCTATTGACCCTTCTATTTGAATTTATTGTCATTAAGACATGTTATTTACATTGACATAATACATGTGTGTTCTCAGAGTTTGCTAAAAAGGTTCATCAAGGAAGAAATCCTTAATGACATCACTGCACTGCAGATGGTCAGACTGGACACAACTAACATGAAAGCAAGAAAACGACCAAAGAATGTGGACATTGGCTTAGGAGCAGAAGCAGTTATAAAGGTATTGTGTCAAATAGCAAATAACAGTTATGATAGAGGAATTTGCATAAAACATAAGTCTGTTTCACTGTCTGTTTCCAACCCTTCCTGTTAGGAACTCCAGAGTAGCAGCAGAGTAGGTGAGCTCAGTGTGTTGGAGTTTAGAAAGGACTGCATGGACTGTTTGACTAACATCATCCAGAAAATGCAAGATAAGAGCCCACTGAAGTACACGGTTGTGAGGCAGGTGGCATGTTTGGACCCAGCAAACATGTTCTCAGACCCTAATTTGTGCCAGGAAAGAATGAAGCGACTTGTACATAGGTTTCTGCAAGACCACCAGCTGCCAGGAGGCATCTCTGCTGGTATTTAAGTTTTTAGAAATCTAGGGAAATGTACATGGTCACATTTATCTGAAGCTTGCTTTCACACAATTTAGCAGCAATTGGTTTTCAGTTTTTTTCCATGATGTTAATTGTGTTGTTTTGTCTTAATCTGTTTTACAACAGGTGATGTAATTGTCCAGCAGTTTGGAAACTTTTTGTCTCTGGAGGCAAAATCTGAGTCATTGTCTTTGTTCCAACCCATGAAGACAAGGCTGGATGTTTTCCTGCATGGTCTCCTCTGTCAGTCTTACCCTGAGCTCTGGACTTTCTGCAAGAAACTACTGCTCCTCTCCCATGGCCAAGCAACAGTGGAGAGGGGTTTTTCTGTGAACAAGGAGGTAGAGGCTGATAATATGCAGGAGGACACAGTTGATGCTCAGAGGATGATATGTGACTATGTTTCTGTCTGTGGGGGGGTTCTAAAAGGTCCTCTGACGAAGGAGATCCTGGCAGCTGCAGCTTCTGCAAGATCTCAGTATCGGCTACACCTGGATCAGGAAAAGAGAAAGCAGGAGAGCAATGCACAAAGAGAAAAGCTTCAGAGGACCTCCTTGAACCTTGAGCAGCTCAAAAAGAGGAAGATGGTACTAGCTGAGGTGGCAAACAGCCTTGAAAAAGAAGCAGACAAACTGGCAGAGCAAGCTGAGGGTAAATCAGGTTCACTCATGGCCCAGCTAATCACCAAGTCAAATGTTCTGAGGAAGCGATTCAAAAAAAAGGTAGCAGAACTACAAGAGGTTGAGACAGAGCTTGGAAATAAATCCATTGAACTCAGGCATATGCCATAATGTCATATGGTATAATAATTTCTGTTCCACATTTCACATGAAAACTGTTCATTCACATTGTTGTAAGTCAACATAGTAGTAGTAGTAGTAGTAGTAGTAGTAGTAGTAGTAGTAGTAGACTTATAATAGAAACCTGTTATTGTGTGCTGGTTAGGAGTTGTACACTGGCTTCTTTGCAGATAACCAGCTGTTGAAATTGTTGTATTTGATTTCTGCATTTTGTCTGAACAGCTTTTTGTAATAAATTGCATTTGTTACTGCCAGATTTTGTGATTTGTGTGTGTGTATGTGTATATATATATATATACAGTGCCTTGCGAAAGTATTCGGCCCCCTTGAACTTTGCGACCTTTTGCCACATTTCAGGCTTCAAACATAAAG